CTTTGTTTAAGCTTATTTGCAACTAAGTCCCTTGGTGATGTGTAACCGAACCAATTTCACCGGTAGCGTAGAGTTTTTTAGATCCACTGAATCTAACTCAGGAGAATTAATGAAAACTTTTGGCAAGTCAAACGAAAAATCAAGATTACTGAAACCGTTTAGTACCTACTGACATCTGGTTCCTGCCCACAAATGTTACTGAATAATATATTCCGGAACTTTTAATGTTATTCCATGTTAGGGAGTACAGAGTACCTGCTGGAGAATTCCAACTTGCATGCAATAACCAATCCTAAATCAGATTTCACTTAAAGGGAAAAACGAATGCAAAAATCCAATCCACCATCACTTTTGACTCATCTGATCAACACAGATGATAAGCGTTTTATTTATTTAATGTCTAATTAGAAATATTACTTTGAACTGTTAACATCTCAAAGTAGAACAGTAACACCAGAATTTGAATAGACATTTTTAATTTTTGTTGGTTTGGAATATTAACAGAAAACCTTTTTATCAAAAGTGATAAACACCAAGAACATTAATTTTTTATGAACTTTCTAACAATATAAACCAAATTACTATACTAAATTTACTTCGTTAGTGGAAGTAGCTCAGCATCGCGATGTACTTTAATAGATGTTAGTTGAATGGAGGCAATCGATAGGAAGCCTTGGACCTAGGTTTCGTGCTTGTTGGTACTCATGAGTAAGGCGTATCTACAACCTCGATGGAACTGATCTCCCACCAGAGAATCGAACCCGCGTCATCCAGTGTTGTAGTCAGCCACGTCATCACTGAGGTATTTGGGTCGCGACTGATGTTCTGTAGGACTCGATCAGATACACCGATTGGTCACTGGAGAGTAATCAAATTCATGTCGTGTAGTCATATGTGCTGACAGCTATCAAACGGCATCACGATGTTGAGCTACCTAGTCTCGTGGTCGCATTGCAAAATGATCGGTGGGATTGGGTCAGCCCATAGAAATAGACAACATTAGGTTGGTTACTCTCCAGTGACCAACCAATGTATATCAAGTCCTTCTCTGATATAAGTACACTTCTGATTGAATGATGGCTTTCTGATCTCAAGTCGATTACTGTTTCAAGCAGTAATCTGAAATGGACAAAATGGAATGGGTTAATTTACAACGATCAATCAGTGTACTATTTGGCTATCTAAAAAATAATTTTTAACTACGCTGATTGTTAACACTTACAAGAAGTCCAAATGTTAACTAAAGAAGACTGATAAGTCGATCTATGAGAAAAGGCTGATTACTTTAGTTTTTTCGAATGTTGAATGCTGCATAGCCTCGTCTCTAAACTTTTCACTTTCTTTTTTACAATAAACAACTGATGTTTTGTATCTCTCTACGAGCTTAGTACGCCTGAATGAATCGTAAAATTGAGAAATTACGAAATTGGGATGAGCAGCTTAAGGAATACCCATAAAATTAGTAAGTTATGTAATTGTTAACACATGTAATATAAAGTATTCTTGTCGGTTGTCAGAAGGAAAGCAATCAACCTTTGTTGACGTAAGCCTCCGATATACAGATACTTCTAGTTTGAGCCTAAGCAAACCTTCCCTAGTTTCTGATAATGGCTGGTAGTTTTGATAACAAGTGTTATTAGGGTATGCACGCATTGGGACTAGTTTTCATCTAAGATCTGAAATAATGAGTGTTAAGTTCTTTAGCCAATGGAAGCAAATTAGTCACTTATATAAAGAGGCTTGCACATCCTGGGTTCTACTGATAGCTCTTATCAAATATTATCAGGCTTCGAGTGTCTAATTTGAAGAGGAGTATCCGTCGTTTACAGACAATACAATTTAAATTCAAAACAAACTTATATTCATATGACTTTGTTCTTCATTACTGGAAAATACTTGAGTGAAAATAAATCCCTTTTAAAAGTCACTGTACATTCGTGATGGTGTTGTGTTCCCTGAGCTGGATGGTTTAAGCATTCTCTTGAGGTACAAATATTCTCCATCGTCACTGTTAATTTTTTATGGTGTGGAATATAGCGGAGAGTCACTTTACTGTCTATTACTAACAAATACTACGCTAAATACTTCAAAATAGTTAAATCAAATTAGTTTTGCTTAGTATGGTCGCTGCATGATGAGTCTCTAAATAGAGTTGAATCTAACGTAGTGTTTAATACTGATAAATTTGTATTCATAACTGAATGGAACAGAATTATTTAATAAATTAGATAAACTTTTGTACATACCATGACTGAGTTTGTACTTTAACGAGATAGCTTTCAGTGTGTATTCCAAGTCGCGTACAACAAGAGTAAATCCTAATATCCATAGGCTATCTTTACCTGTCTCACTCCAACGTAAACGGAGCGTAGAGTTTTTTTCATTACACTGCCCGTGGTACTCAATATAATGTGCGTATGTGCTATTGATGTGGTATGTGATGCCTTCTCGTTGCCCCTGAATATTGTGAATTAAAACAACATAACCCAATACACCAATTAATTATGGATGGTATGTAAATATTAAAGAGTGTAGTTAGCAATAAAGTTTGTCCTAATCAGTCAACAGTATAGTCATCACAAATGACAGTGAAACGTGAGGCCACTTAATCATAATTAGGAATATTAAATAATAATATTGAATTTGTAGATGATTTGATAGGGGTAGACCTTTATCTGTTGGTCTTCAGACTTTCTTAGTGTAGAAAGTGTCAAATGTAAGCAGAGATAACTTCTTAGGTTAAGTGAATTTCACTAACTCACTTTCACCATAATTGACCTTTCCTTATTCCTTGGATATATTTTTATTATTATTAATCCCTTGGGTTCCTAGTGGAATATAGGGCTTCAGTAGCACATCTCCATTTCACTCTATTCTCTGCAGTCTTTTGAACCCTGGATCCACCACTACGCACAAGCTCTCATTTCTTCCTCACATGATCTCCTCCTCAGATATATACTACTTGTGAGTTTTTTCTTGGAGCTCTCATTTTTTACAGAAATAGTGTCACTTATAACATCACATCTTTGTCTGCTTTATTATTACGCATAGTCAAGGGACTTGATAAACAAGCAATGTAGACCAGTTATCGAATACCAGTACCGGTACGATCATCTCCTCAATTCGTTTTTATTCTAATCTGTCAACAAAATTTCTTTCCATATGTTCTTAGTTAATTGTAATTGCCATTATCACTTTAAATGCTTGTCTTACTTGCTCAATGACTGTAAGTTTTGAGAACCATGTTCTAATAACATTAGTTGACAGTTAGTTTGTTATTATTGACTAAAGTGAGATTTCGTTTAGTGCTCATCAAAATAACTAAAAATTCAATTAAACGGTTGTGGGGATTTATTAACTAATTTCAGGTTAGTATTTATCAACTACTGACATCAGTTGGAGAAGTATTAGAGATCTAGGAGCACTGGACATCTGTTTCGTTTTAGTATGGGACTGCTCAGCAGTGTGCACCCTTGACCCTGCCAGGACTCAATAGCTCAATGGTAACACGCTAGTCGAGGAACCTGAAGGTCATGAATTCGATCATTGACGGGGTCATAGGTGCGCACTGTTGAGGAGTCCCTTGATAGGAAAGACAGCTGTGCAGTGCTTCTAGGTTTCCAATACTTCTTCAACTGATGTCAGTTCACGATTGATACCAACCTAAAATAACTAAAATTGTTGAAATTAAAATTCATTATTGATTGAACACTTCATCATTAATTGATGGAGTTATCACAAGCAACATGATTCAGTGTTTGAACAAGTGTATCCTTCCTTCAAATGAATTCAGTGCCTCTTGACTATCCCAATTGACAAAGACATACATATAAAATTTTGGTGATCAAAACAAATGTCAGAGTTTTAAATTTATTATGTACCATAAAATTCACCTAATTATTGATGAAAACCAATTTAAACAAATCTAAGACGGATAATTACTACCATAAGTTTGAACTGACAGTAATCAAATATCCAATCCACAATTAAGGTGAAAAATCTGTCCTTAAAAGGTCTACTTAAAAAATGAAAACTCCATTGCACATAATAATGCACCGAAAAGTTCATCAAACTACAGAATGCTCTTTCATCTGTGGTAACTAGAATGTGTTAATATATTATCCTTTAACTGTTAGACATTTCAATTCCTTTTCGAGTCATGGAAGGTGTGGAATGCACCAAATAACCGACCCTGGTTTAGATTTAAATTTTTTAGTTTGAAATAATATTACTGAAGCATTTGCTTTTCACTGACAGAGCATAATTGTGAAGTTTTCATCATTCATCAAAATAAAACATATTCATGGTCTGTTTCGCTAAGAAACCTGTTTTTATGATTTTCAAAGCATTTACTGAAATCAGTTGCAAAAGGTAAAAAAATGTCGTGTTCACAATATGTAGACTGTTTATCAGTAAGAAGTGTGAACTAATCTATTGGATTAACACTTTCAAACTCCATTAACTACCCGAATATCTATTTGTAATATGACAACAGTAGATCAGTTCTCATCATCTCATATTGTAAGTCATATGGGTTGAGGGAAATGACGGTGTAAATTCATTTTCCATTTTATAAGCTTGTAAGATACCATCGTGATTATTCCTGATGTTCAGTCGCTAAATGGGATTTTACGACTAACCAAATGTGTCACTAAAGTCTCTATTATACATGATCAACGTTGACTTAGAATCAAACACTACCGATTTGGTAAGAAAACAAGCATAGTTGAATTACCTTAAATGTATTATGAGAGAAACAAGCTTATTTTCCTGTGTGGGGTCTTGTTTTACTTGGCAAATCCTTATTATGCGTGGGTCAAACGTCACTTCGTGCACCAGTTTTATTATTATTATTTGTCGCTTGGGTTCTTAGTGGAACATAGGGCTTTAGTAGAACGTCGCCAATCCACTTTCTTCTCTGCAGTCTTGAAAACCTGGCTCCATGACTGCCTACAAGCTATCATTTCTTCCTCATACCATCTCCTCCATGTCACTCTCGGATGCCCAACTCGGCGTTTCCCCTTGGGATTCCACTCGAGGACCTGGTCTGGCGCGTGATGTCTCAAATGGTTTTCTCAGTGTGTGCCCAATCCAACCATCTCCTCTTTCTGCTGCATATTTGTTGGGCAATAGGTTCTTGGTTGGTTCGTTAGCAGGCTAGAGTTCCATGTTGCTTATTCTTATTCTGGCCATCTGATCGTCAGCAACGAGCGTAGACAGCTGTCAATGAATGTCTGCAGTTTGTTGAAAATGATTTTCGTGACCCTCCAAGTTTTTGAACCACATAGAAGCATTGACTTGACGTTGGTGTGGAAAATCCGGATCTTGTTCTTTATGCTGACTGCAGTAGATCTCCACAGTGATTTCAGACTAACGAAGCCTACCTGTCTTTCTGTCTTTCCTATCCTGGCTTTGACGTCCCCATCTGTGCCACCACCGACTATAGTTCAAATAATGGACCCTAGGCAGGTAGGTGAAACAGACTTCTTCCTTTAGGTATCTCTTGTTGATGGTGATCGGCGCTTGTTGGTGTTGTTCGGTTATCTTCATCGTTTTTGTCTTCTCTGAGTTCACCTGAAGTTCCATCTTCGCTGCCTAGCTTCTTCTGTCGACTTGTTGGCTTTTGCTTGTAGATTTTCGAGTTTGTGCGACAACACATTAGACGTAAATCATCACCGGCGAAATCCAAAACTTCTAGGGCATTTTCATCGGTCCAGCTAGCGTATGCCTCTCTTCACTCTCCTCATAGTTTCTTGCATGATCCAGTTCAGTCGAGTCGATCACAATCAGGAAGATCATCGGTGATAGAAGGGGCAGCCTTGTCTTACTCCTGTCTTCACTTCAAAGGCGTCACTGAGCTTTCCAATGTGAATCACTCGGCGTGTGGCATCACATAGCTTGTAGCTGCTTTTGAATGAGGTTGATAAAGGTTTGTATCACTAGAACCATAGTGTTGAGGCAGCTGCTTACCAAATTACTTCTCGGTAGACGCTGTCGAAGGCCCTTTCAAAATCGATGAAGTTGAGGTAGGGATCCAGTTGACTGCCATTCTATGCTCTGTTCTATGATGATGCGTAGCGTTGCGTTGCAATTTGGTCCGCACATGATTTGTTCTTCCTAAATCCAGCCACCCTGTTCCGATTGTACTTTTGAATCCAGCTCACCTTTTCGTCTCTCCAGGATGATGCGGCCTAATATTTTGTTTGGGGTGGACAGGAGCATGATTCTTCACCAGTTCTTGCAAAGTATTAGGCCTCCCTTCTTCGGGAGTTTGACAAGATAGCCCTTCTTCCAATCAACCGTCAGGTACCTTTCCTTCCTTCCTTCCTTCCAAACAATCTGCAGTAGTGGTGTGAGCATGTCCGCTTTTGTCTCTGCGCCTGTTTTAGTGCTACTGGTGGAATTGCATCTGCTCCTTCTGCTTTCCCGGATTTGAGCAGCTTTATAGCTTTCAGGACTTATCCTTTTGTCGGAGGGTTTGTATTTACTGATAGTTCTGTGGGTGCTGGTGGTATTTCTGGACGAGTTGCAGTTGGTGTTGGTCGATTCGAGAGTTTTCTAAAGTCGTCAGCCCATTGTTTCCTGTGTTTCTGCTCTTTGCTGACTAAGTTTCCTTCACCATCTTTTACTGGGATTGTCTGGCTTGACCACTTCCCATATGGTTATTTGAAATAGTGTTGTCAGGTCTCTCCTACGAGCAGCCTGTTCTGCTTCACTTGTAAGTGTGTCGTAGAAGTGTGTTTTGTCTTTGTGCGCACTCTTCTTCACTTCTTTGTCCAATGTTTTATACGTTGTATTCAGTTCCTCTTCTCGTTGTTCATCCTTGCACTGGTTTATCTTCTGTTTCGCCATCCTTCTCTCCCTCCTCTATCAGCTTCCATGTATCCGTCGAGATCCATTCCTTGTCCTGTCTTGTTTCTTCTTCCTTCCTAACACGGTTATGCAGGTTTCTTTCCATATCTCTTTCAAAGAGTTCCAGTGTTCTTCTATACAGGTTTCTTCAGGGATGTTGCTCAATATCTCCTATTTTGTCTTGATAGCTGACGTGAAGATTTCCTTTGTAGTTGCGTCCTTCAGTTCAGTTTCTGGGTGGGTGTTGAACTTCAACTGTGGTCTATCACCAACTACTTTGAAGGCTTTAAACATTATTTGGAAGGTTTCTTGCACTAGATAGAAAGTCAGTAGTGTGAACCTACATCTGTTCCTCTTCGTGATCTGATTTTATCTCCAGTAGGCTGCATCTTCACTTCCTTGATATTGAGAAGTCGATGTGATTTTAGTGTGTCCTGGTGTCTGATGAAATCAATGTCGCTTTGGGAATATCCTTGTGTTTGTACACATTGCCTCACCTCCAATCACCAAATCGTTGAATGCACAGAATTCTGCAAACAATTCCCCATTCTCATCTGTTATTTCACCGATTGCTTCTCGACCCATGATCAGTTCTCTTCCTGTGTCGTCCGCTCCCAGTTTGGCATTCATATCACACCACCCACTGGAATTTTGATGTCTCCAACTGGGGTGGGGTCTTGTCCTGTAGTGATTGCAGTTGTCTATAGTATTCCCCCTTCTCTTGATCTGCATTATTTGTAGGAGCGTAGTGTAGCGTAGCATTGTATGATTATGACTTTCCTTCCTTTTGATTTGAATCTTGCCGTTATGATCCTGATCGTGTAGGAGATTGGTTTCCACTTCATGAGAGTATTCGACGCTGTTGGAAACATCATGATAGCCACTCGGTAACTCAGTGTGCTCGTGGTTGTCGTCTGGGTGACAATATCGGAGTAGGTTTATTGACTATTCAGATGACAGTTTGGAGAGTCCACTACCATTTCATCTGCTAGTAACTAGTAAACTGCTTAACAAGGCGAGGTTCCATGCAACAGTATAACACTATATTAGAATTAAAAAGTACCGAATGTACGTTGTAACCTTAGATCATGTGACAAGCTTATAACTGTAACTATTGAGATTGCTGTTGTCTTTTAGGTTCGGTACATTCATTGAAATAAAATACTGGTTTAGCAAGGTCATTCACGATGCTTTTCGACTAGAAGCATAGTAAAAGTTATGAAATAAACAACTTCAGCGTTATTCGATTGTTCAATTACGTATCAAAATTAATATACGCCCTCATAAATTGTTTTTTTATGGTGGATTTAACATAGTTCAGAAAAGTTTAAGTCTATGTAAACCGGTGTATCCCAGCTAACTAGAAAACATTTGATGTCTGACAATTTAGTGCATTTTAGACTTTTAGTAGTAGTAGTACGGTGAGTAGTAGTAGTAATGTAATTAGTTGTGGTATGAGTAGCAGTGGTCACAGTAGCATGGGCACAGTGTCCTACAGCTTCCCTTGAGGAGATTCGTGTTTACTTCAGTTTTCGCAATGATGTTCTAAAACCTCCGTCTTCGTTGGTTTCTTGCATAATTTACATAGATAAACAATACTACCTACTGTATGACTTATCAGACAGGATTTATTGTTCAACTCCAAAGTAACTGCATAGCTGTGATATCGTGTTTCCATAGTTTTATTTCTTCACCTTCGTTTGTCATATGAGTTGGAGGATTTTTTGATGTCTGAAGTGTATAATAAAGTCATTCCTACTGCACCTGTCTGATGTTCATTTGATAAACAAAGACTCAGTTATTAATCGCGAATACTAGACCCTGCTAAGATAAGAAATCTAGAGAGAAGCTTGGTTACTTTAATGCATAGTATCATCCATAGTTGCACCTCAGGATGGGATAGGGTGGGCTGGAGGAAGAGATTTCTAAACGAATCTCCACTCATTAAATGAATTTCAAACACATACAATAGGAATGAAATTAATAACTATGTCAGATACGAGTAAAATTCTTCTACTCATATAAAAAATGAAGGCGAAGAAATAGAACTATGGAAACAGGGTATCACAGCTGTGCACTCACCTAACATACGAATTTGAACAATAAACTCTGTCTGAAACGTCATCCAGTTGATAATACCGTTTCACTGTGTAAAATACCTAATAAACAAATTCACATGGAATTATACACTGCCAGAGTCTTCTTGTTGTACGCTTACATATCTAAAGATGTAATGCAGTTTGCAAAGTGAAACCAATTAAACCTCTCTATTAATCTATTTCCCTTGTTTATATCATCACTACTGTACACTAATAAATGTGAAGAAGGTATAGAAAAAGTATGGTGATGCAACAAATGCATCATATCGACTTTAGTCATTAAAACGAAAAGTTAGTTTCCAGTGTACATAGTTGACTGTTGATCAAAATGCAGATGAATCATAAATCATTGCTACTGGATGTCTATGTAGGTAGCTCTCAAGGCTATGAATTATTTCAACACTATCTCTTCTAGAGTTAGAAGATAAAAGAATAAGGATTGATAAATTGGAAAGGGCTTTCATACTTATTGATAAGTGAAGAAGTTCACTGGGTGCTTGTTATTCCAACTGTCTACACATCCTACCTATTTATGGTGCAAACGAAGTAAGATAAATAATTCAATAAAGTGTTAAAACTGTTTCCTAAAAATGGTTCTCTACTATCTGAGCATCGTTATTCACTTTATTCCCATTCATCTTCGTTCCTTATTCCTTTAAACAGCCTAAATTATGAGGTATAAGTGCGCATTTCATCTACCTCACTACAAGCAGATTAAATAAAATAATGATGATATAAAAGAAGTAAATTCTCATAAGAGATATAATATCTAATCATTTGAGAACTTATGAAGTACATTTACATAAATCTACAACGAGAAGAGAAAATTATTACTTACTAAAGTAGATAAAGTAGGTAGGTAAACACTCAAACATATTGTATATGTATTACACAGCGGATTACACCCAGACCCCACCCCTAGAATATAGAACTGAAAAATTGCCGCTAGTATCTCTTTTAAGTCAAAATGGTTAGCCGCCTATCTGACTGATCTTTTTTACTTTGTTATCATATTTTAAATGAAATGAGTCACTCTCTTTGTGCCCCCAGTTTTGATAGAATATAGCCTAATTTAATTTTATATCACACATTTACACTACTTACATATTTTATAGTTCATAATATCTCTTCTTAGCATTTTAACTACAACTACACTCACCTTCGCTGGTATTATAAGTGTAAATGCGCATTTCAGAAGCAGGCAAATGACCTCATCCAGATAGACTTCATAAGTATTCACAACATCTTCACTATCCTCATTTGCAAGTATTAGAATATCTTGACCTGTAAAAGAGGATAAACATAGTTTATTGATAAAATATTAGATATCCATAAGTTATTATACACAGGTACATAAAAAACTTAGAGCTCATATAGGATCATAGAAGTCAATTAAAAATTTTACCGAAGACCTGAATTTCATTTCTTGCTATGCATACTACAGCTGGTGATGCCTTCTAGTAAGTGAAATGTATGACCCGAATGTCGTATATTTCACGATCACAAGCAGTATAAATATCAGTGTGCTCAGGAACTCACACCTCAGTATGATTACTAATGTGAAGCTTATTGAAAATAACTTATGTTTCATTTAAGAATAAATTAGAATAAATAATCGTATACGCATACATATGATGATTTTATTGTTTAGCACTAATCGCTTTTCAGACAGGTGTTTATCAGATAATAAAGCAGTGTAACTTCTTTTGGACTCGAAAGTAAGTCCGTGAGTTTGTCTATCAGTATGAAGTCACATTTGTATTGGAAGAATGTGGTCACATGAATTGAATTACAATCTATTTGATGTTTGAGCAAATAGTTTCAATGATTTTTTAGTCAAAATGTAATAGATATGCGGCTTCATATATATGTAACGAGTAATCAAAGTACTTTCATGTGTTAACTAGAAGAAAATCATGTAGTTATGCAGGTGTTGACGATGAGAAAGAAGAGGGTATTATTACTGATAACTAGAACAGATTTTATCTTTTACCTTAATCAGGTAAAATGAAGGATAACTTTTCGACATAACCAGCTTCAAAAATGCGGGTTATTCACCATAGAATACTAGATACTGGATGGCAGTGTAATTTGATTCGACCTATGGATCTCCATAAATAAAACTAACTGCATTGAAGCGAAAAGCTATATTAGCATCTCTGTGAATAAAACTCCTTGTCTTCTGACTTTTAGACTTTACATTTGGAGGTGAAGGTGCGTTCTACAGTATTCATCATGCCGTGATTTTGAAAAGAATTGGAGCTTTTCGTATCAAGTGTTTATTCTGAACGACATTTTCGAGTAACAAAGATTAAAAAGTTATGAGGTTTTTGTCTGTGCTGAGAAAAGCTTAATTTTTAGAATTTTCATAAATGTACCTGGCGTGGACAAATTTGTTTCTACAAGTGTTGCAATTGGGAAACCTAATTCGCTAAATCGATTAAGCTCTACTAACTCTCTTTTATGTATTTGTTCTGACGAAGTTCCGTCAATCCCCAGATAACTTGGAGTCAGTTAGTATGAATTCTGTACTAGCTACATGTTTGAACCACTAATAGAATACCTTTAAATTCGTGGTTGGAGACACGTGTTGCTTTATGCCAACAAGAATGACATTCAGGTTGAGACTGGTATAACTTTTTCCGAACATCGCAACTGCTTTACCATTAGCTGCTTACAGATTGAAGGATTGTTCATAATGATGTTCGTTTGTTTCAGGGAGAGCTCTGAATTTTGTGCCGTTGTCGGCGAGTTAGCGAACATTCGTTTTCACGTTTGTAACGAACAACAAACAAAACATGTTTTATTCTGAAGATTTCATTTTTCAAATCACTAGCATAGGTTATGATGTTGAAATAATGGAGAATGTTTGTAGCTCACGTGGATGGTCTTGGTTGTATTGTGTTCTAGGTTGTTTAATCGTGATTAAACAACGATTAAACAACCCAGCTCAGAGAACATAATACAACCAACGTTATGATGTCTTTCTCTCTGTTTATTAGGTTAGTTGGATGTTATGTTAACTGGATGATCCGATTGGAAGTCTAAATATTCATCATAATGTGTTGGTTTTCTGTAAACTGTCGTACTGAATTTAACTTCAGTTGTTCTTTGGATAAGACAGTCGAAAACCTTTCAAGTTCGACCCTTGGAATCTAATTCACTAGTGCATTTAATGAAATCCGAAATAGGGTTTATATGTGCTAAAATTGTTTTTTGCTTTCTTAAGAATCACAAATGTGTCATCCACATACCTATGCCAAATTCTGAGTTAACATTGGAGACTTCTTAAACCTCACTCTTCTAAAGCTTTCATATAGAAATTCTCATAAATTTGAGATGCTAGTCAGCCTGCTACAACATCTTTTAATTGACAGTACATTCTACCTCTTATTGTGAAATATGTATGTTCTAAGCAATGTTTCAACAATTTTATGATATCCTCTGTTGAAGGCAGGCATTCACGTATTACATTATCGAGAAAACTCTTACAATATCTAGACATTCACATTTTGGTATATTAGTGAACAGAGAAATTACATCAAAACATTGCCATAATTTCATCGTCGCCTATAGTCATATTCAATTGTTTATTTTTGAAGCCTTGGAGGCTTTTAATACTTGAAGAAATGTCATATTGGAGTGGTTTCAGAATTCTTAGTAAATGTTTAGATAGACGATACATTATCAAATTTGTAAAGTCAAGAATTAGTCTAAGGGTAATCTCCGTTTTGTGGACTTTTGGTCTTCCATATAATTTAGCTGTTGTGTTCGTCTTAGGATCTAATGAAAACCATATTGCACTTCAAAGTTTGAGTTTCGTTTCTCTTGGTAATTTACACGTCTCAGCTTCCTTTGTTTTTAATTTGACTGAATGTTTATTACTAGGGATAAGCTCTTATAGTCCAGTTTCCAAATGCCGTGTCGCTTTCTTTTTTAAATCTTTTTTATTCAACACTACCGTGACATTGCCTCTGTCTGCTTTTGTTATGACTATAGATTTATCAGATATCGAAGTTTCTAAAGCAGATCGTTCTTCTGTCTTTTGGTTAGAACCAGCAGTCTTCTGATTTGTCATGATAGTCCTGACTTTATGACGTACTGTATGTGCTTCTTCTCTCGGTAAAAGAGATGAAATTGGTTCCATAGTTCGGGCTAGTTCCATCGTTTTTGAAGGCTTTCTGGGCAAACTGAAGTCCAGACCTTTATTCTGTAATATAATTTCATGTTCATTTAGTTGCATGCTGAATAAACTACATTACTCTTGTACTGCTCGAATAGCTTTTCCAACATGATTTTCATTTGTTCGAGATGACTAGATGTTAAAATTTCTGAAAATGTCTTTCTTTAACATTTTGGAAACATTTGGATTCTTGATCTTGACATAAATTTATGAGTTCGGAAAGCTTATTATAAGGAATAAGTATATTGAGACTGTCATCAATGTTCTGAATACGCCTACGGTACTGTTTCAATGGTAATGTGCAATTATGTGTAGATTAAGTTGGTTTTGTTGTAATAACGATCATAATTTCCTGTTGCTACAGAGGGCCGAACCGCTCGAACTCTGTTGGCAGATGGTCTCTTATGACGATGCTTCGACACTGCAGGATATTCATGATGTTATGTTGGTCTTTGATTTAAACGTACTGGGTTCCAGCCTCAGTGCGAACACCATCATTCACTGGAGTGCAGGTACATCTAGCTGATTAGTCCCAAATGGTATGAAGTGCACGTACTAGATTCCTCTTCTGGTCAAGAGGATAATGATAGGTTAGTATGGTCTTTATACTACCACTTCAGTATTGAAAATAAAATCTTACACCATTATGTTAGTGTTCTATCTAAAACATATCAGACGTAATAATTCGATGTTCGATAGATGTTCTGCCCCTTTATCTTCATCGAAATTCAGCATATCTCACAATACCACATTTCTTTTTTCTTTTTAATCTTATCACTTGTTCAGTCCAATTAACTTTCGTTCCATTCCATCCTTTTTATTTGAAAAATTACACAGTAAGTTACATCGAGATGATGTTTCTCAGTATGACATTCGACAGTGGTAAATGTCTTATAGTCTGTAATTCTCTGTTCAGAACTTTACGATACAACTACAGACAGTCTTTAAGAATCCATTCAAGTTGATTAAAATTAGTCGTTTTGCTCTCATTTATTAACAAAATATACTTCTTTTGTTGTTGAAGTAGAAGCTGTAGGTTCAGCAAATACTTTTTTATGTAAGAAGATGGTGTATCTATGTGTGCATACCTGAACAAGTGATCAGTTTAAGAGTCATTGAACCCAGTGAATAGTAAAAATCGGCAAACAAAAGATAAATGAATTTTAGATACCATGAAAAGTCTTTTTTCGGGTGATATAACATGTCCATTTGGGCTCGCATATCTCCATAAAAGCCGGTCACCGTTAAACTATCCACATCAGTTGAACTTATGGTGGCTGTTTTGTTTCTTATAAACTCCTGCTATCATAAAAGCAGAAAGTTAACATAAGGTGAAAGAAGGGAGGCGGTGGAATAATTTTATCAAAAAAATCTCATTTCATAAGAGTTATACTGAAAATGTTCGTTTGCATCTATTTCAAAATAAATTTCCCTTCCATTCTGTTAGTAAGGAAATTGAGGGTCAAAACAGTTATATATCAGAAATCGTTTACATCCTATGCTCTGTTCTATGATGATGCGTAGCGTTGCGTTGCAATTTGGTCCGCACATGATTTGTTCTTCCTAAATCCAGCCACCCTGTTCCGATTGTACTTTTGAATCCAGCTCACCTTTTCGTCTCTCCAGGATGATGCGGCCTAATATTTTGTTTGGGGTGGACAGGAGCATGATTCTTCACCAGTTCTTGCAAAGTATTAGGCCTCCCTTCTTCGGGAGTTTGACAAGATAGCCCTTCTTCCAATCAACCGTCAGGTACCTTTCCTTCCTTCCTTCCTTCCAAACAATCTGCAGTAGTGGTGTGAGCATGTCCGCTTTTGTCTCTGCGCCTGTTTTTAGTGCTACTGGTGGAATTGCATCTGCTCCTTCTGCTTTCCCGGATTTGAGCAGCTTTATAGCTTTCAGGACTTATCCTTTTGTCGGAGGGTTTGTATTTACTGATAGTTCTGTGGGTGCTGGTGGTATTTCTGGACGAGTTGCAGTTGGTGTTGGTCGATTCGAGAGTTTTCTAAAGTCGTCAGCCCATTGTTTCCTGTGTTTCTGCTCTTTGCTGACTAAGTTTCCTTCACCATCTTTTACTGGGATTGTCTGGCTTGACCACTTCCCATATGGTTATTTGAAATAGTGTTGTCAGGTCTCTCCTACGAGCAGCCTGTTCTGCTTCACTTGTAAGTGTGTCGTAGAAGTGTGTTTTGTCTTTGTGCGCACTCTTCTTCACTTCTTTGTCCAATGTTTTATACGTTGTATTCAGTTCCTCTTCTCGTTGTTCATCCTTGCACTGGTTTATCTTCTGTTTCGCCATCCTTCTCTCCCTCCTCTATCAGCTTCCATGTATCCGTCGAGATCCATTCCTTGTCCTGTCTTGTTTCTTCTTCCTTCCTAACACGGTTATGCAGGTTTCTTTCCATATCTCTTTCAAAGAGTTCCAGTGTTCTTCTACACAGGTTTCTTCAGGGATGTTGCTCAATATCACCTATTTTGTCTTGATAGCTGACGTGAAGATTTCCTTTGTAGTTGCGTCCTTCAGTTCAGTTTCTGGGTGGGTGTTGAACTTCAACTGTGGTCTATCACCAACTACTTTGAAGGCTTTAAACATTATTTGGAAGGTTTCTTGCACTAGATAGAAAGTCAGTAGTGTGAACCTACATCTGTTCCTCTTCGTGATCTGATTTTATCTCCAGTAGGCTGCATCTTCACTTCCTTGATATTGAGAAGTCGATGTGATTTTTAGTGTGTCCTGGTGTCTGATGAAATCAATGTCGCTTTGGGAATATCCTTGTGTTTGTACACATTGCCTCACCTCCAATCACCAAATCGTTGAATGCACAGAATTCTGCAAACAATTCCCCATTCTCATCTGTTATTTCACCGATTGCTTCTCGACCCATGATCAGTTCTCTTCCTGTGTCGTCCGCTCCCAGTTTGGCATTCATATCACACCACCCACTGGAATTTTGATGTCTCCAACTGGGGTGGGGTCTTGTCCTGTAGTGATTGCAGTTGTCTATAGTATTCCCCCTTCTCTTGATCTGCATTATTTGTAGGAGCGTAGTGTAGCGTAGCATTGTATGATTATGACTTTCCTTCCTTTTGATTTGAATCTTGCCGTTATGATCCTGATCGTGTAGGAGATTGGTTTCCACTTCATGAGAGTATTCGACGCTGTTGGAAACATCATGATAGCCACTCGATAACTCAGTGTGCTCGTGGTTGTCGTCTGGGTGACAATATCGGAGTAGGTTTATTGACTATTCAGATGACAGTTTGGAGAGTCCACTACCATTTCATCTGCTAGTAACTAGTAAACTGCTTAACAAGGCGAGGTTCCATGCAACAGTATAACACTATATTAGAATTAAAAAGTACCGAATGTACGTTGTAACCTTAGATCATGTGACAAGCTTATAACTGTAACTATTGAGATTGCTGTTGTCTTTTAGGTTCGGTACATTCATTGAAATAAAATACTGGTTTAGCAAGGTCATTCACGATGCTTTTCGACTAGAAGCATAGTAAAAGTTATGAAATAAACAACTTCAGCGTTATTCGATTGTTCAATTACGTATCAAAATTAATATACGCCCTCATAAATTGTTTTTTTATGGTGGATTTAACATAGTTCAGAAAAGTTTAAGTCTATGTAAACCGGTGTATCCCAGCTAACTAGAAAACATTTGATGTCTGACAATTTAGTGCATTTTAGACTTTTAGTAGTAGTAGTACGGTGAGTAGTAGTAGTAATGTAATTAGTTGTGGTATGAGTAGCAGTGGTCACAGTAGCATGGGCACAGTGTCCTACAGCTTCCCTTGAGGAGATTCGTGTTTACTTCAGTTTTCGCAATGATGTTCTAAAACCTCCGTCTTCGTTGGTTTCTTGCATAATTTACATAGATAAACAATACTACCTACTGTATGACTTATCAGACAGGATTTATTGTTCAACTCCAAAGTAACTGCATAGCTGTGATATCGTGTTTCCATAGTTTTATTTCTTCACCTTCGTTTGTCATATGAGTTGGAGGATTTTTTGATGTCTGAAGTGTATAATAAAGTCATTCCTACTGCACCTGTCTGATGTTCATTTGATAAACAAAGACTCAGTTATTAATCGCGAATACTAGACCCTGCTAAGATAAGAAATCTAGAGAGAAGCTTGGTTACTTTAATGCATAGTATCATCCATAGTTGCACCTCAGGATGGGATAGGGTGGGCTGGAGGAAGAGATTTCTAAACGAATCTCCACTCATTAAATGAATTTCAAACACATACAATAGGAATGAAATTAATAACTATGTCAGATACGAGTAAAATTCTTCTACTCATATAAAAAATGAAGGCGAAGAAATAGAACTATGGAAACAGGGTATCACAGCTGTGCACTCACCTAACATACGAATTTGAACAATAAACTCTGTCTGAAACGTCATCCAGTTGATAATACCGTTTCACTGTGTAAAATACCTAATAAACAAATTCACATGGAATTATACACTGCCAGAGTCTTCTTGTTGTACGCTTACATATCTAAAGATGTAATGCAGTTTGCAAAGTGAAACCAATTAAACCTCTCTATTAATCTATTTCCCTTGTTTATATCATCACTACTGTACACTAATAAATGTGAAGAAGGTATAGAAAAAGTATGGTGATGCAACAAATGCATCATATCGACTTTAGTCATTAAAACGAAAAGTTAGTTTCCAGTGTACATAGTTGACTGTTGATCAAAATGCAGATGAATCATAAATCATTGCTACTGGATGTCTATGTAGGTAGCTCTCAAGGCTATGAATTATTTCAACACTATCTCTTCTAGAGTTAGAAGATAAAAGAATAAGGATTGATAAATTGGAAAGGGCTTTCATACTTATTGATAAGTGAAGAAGTTCACTGGGTGCTTGTTATTCCAACTGTCTACACATCCTACCTATTTATGGTGCAAACGAAGTAAGATAAATAATTCAATAAAGTGTTAAAACTGTTTCCTAAAAATGGTTCTCTACTATCTGAGCATCGTTATTCACTTTATTCCCATTCATCTTCGTTCCTTATTCCTTTAAACAGCCTAAATTATGAGGTATAAGTGCGCATTTCATCTACCTCACTACAAGCAGATTAAATAAAATAATGATGATATAAAAGAAGTAAATTCTCATAAGAGATATAATATCTAATCATTTGAGAACTTATGAAGTACATTTACATAAATCTACAACGAGAAGAGAAAATTATTACTTACTAAAGTAGATAAAGTAGGTAGGTAAACACTCAAACATATTGTATATGTATTACACAGCGGATTACACCCAGACCCCACCCCTAGAATATAGAACTGAAAAATTGCCGCTAGTATCTCTTTTAAGTCAAAATGGTTAGCCGCCTATCTGACTGATCTTTTTACTTTGTTATCATATTTTAAATGAAATGAGTCACTCTCTTTGTGCCCCCAGTTTTGATAGAATATAGCCTAATTTAATTTTATATCACACATTTACACTACTTACATATTTTATAGTTCATAATATCTCTTCTTAGCATTTTAACTACAACTACACTCACCTTCGCTGGTATTATAAGTGTAAATGCGCATTTCAGAAGCAGGCAAATGACCTCATCCAGATAGACTTCATAAGTATTCACAACATCTTCACTATCCTCATTTGCAAGTATTAGAATATCTTGACCTGTAAAAGAGGATAAACATAGTTTATTGATAAAATATTAGATATCCATAAGTTATTATACACAGGTACATAAAAAACTTAGAGCTCATATAGGATCATAGAAGTCAATTAAAAATTTTACCGAAGACCTGAATTTCATTTCTTGCTATGCATACTACAGCTGGTGATGCCTTCTAGTAAGTGAAATGTATGACCCGAATGTCGTATATTTCACGATCACAAGCAGTATAAATATCAGTGTGCTCAGGAACTCACACCTCAGTATGATTACTAATGTGAAGCTTATTGAAAATAACTTATGTTTCATTTAAGAATAAATTAGAATAAATAATCGTATACGCATACATATGATGATTTTATTGTTTAGCACTAATCGCTTTTCAGACAGGTGTTTATCAGATAATAAAGCAGTGTAACTTCTTTTGGACTCGAAAGTAAGTCCGTGAGTTTGTCTATCAGTATGAAGTCACATTTGTATTGGAAGAATGTGGTCACATGAATTGAATTACAATCTATTTGATGTTTGAGCAAATAGTTTCAATGATTTTTTAGTCAAAATGTAATAGATATGCGGCTTCATATATATGTAACGAGTAATCAAAGTACTTTCATGTGTTAACTAGAAGAAAATCATGTAGTTATGCAGGTGTTGACGATGAGAAAGAAGAGGGTATTATTACTGATAACTAGAACAGATTTTATCTTTTACCTTAATCAGGTAAAATGAAGGATAACTTTTCGACATAACCAGCTTCAAAAATGCGGGTTATTCACCATAGAATACTAGATACTGGATGGCAGTGTAATTTGATTCGACCTATGGATCTCCATAAATAAAACTAACTGCATTGAAGCGAAAAGCTATATTAGCATCTCTGTGAATAAAACTCCTTGTCTTCTGACTTTTAGACTTTACATTTGGAGGTGAAGGTGCGTTCTACAGTATTCATCATGCCGTGATTTTGAAAAGAATTGGAGCTTTTCGTATCAAGTGTTTATTCTGAACGACATTTTCGAGTAACAAAGATTAAAAAGTTATGAGGTTTTTGTCTGTGCTGAGAAAAGCTTAATTTTTAGAATTTTCATAAATGTACCTGGCGTGGACAAATTTGTTTCTACAAGTGTTGCAATTGGGAAACCTAATTCGCTAAATCGATTAAGCTCTACTAACTCTCTTTTATGTATTTGTTCTGACGAAGTTCCGTCAATCCCCAGATAACTTGGAGTCAGTTAGTATGAATTCTGTACTAGCTACATGTTTGAACCACTAATAGAATACCTTTAAATTCGTGGTTGGAGACACGTGTTGCTTTATGCCAACAAGAATGACATTCAGGTTGAGACTGGTATAACTTTTTCCGAACATCGCAACTGCTTTACCATTAGCTGCTTACAGATTGAAGGATTGTTCATAATGATGTTCGTTTGTTTCAGGGAGAGCTCTGAATTTTGTGCCGTTGTCGGCGAGTTAGCGAACATTCGTTTTCACGTTTGTAACGAACAACAAACAAAACATGTTTTATTCTGAAGATTTCATTTTTCAAATCACTAGCATAGGTTATGATGTTGAAATAATGGAGAATGTTTGTAGCTCACGTGGATGGTCTTGGTTGTATTGTGTTCTAGGTTGTTTAATCGTGATTAAACAACGATTAAACAACCCAGCTCAGAGAACATAATACAACCAACGTTATGATGTCTTTCTCTCTGTTTATTAGGTTAGTTGGATGTTATGTTAACTGGATGATCCGATTGGAAGTCTAAATATTCATCATAATGTGTTGGTTTTCTGTAAACTGTCGTACTGAATTTAACTTCAGTTGTTCTTTGGATAAGACAGTCGAAAACCTTTCAAGTTCGACCCTTGGAATCTAATTCACTAGTGCATTTAATGAAATCCGAAATAGGGTTTATATGTGCTAAAATTGTTTTTTGCTTTCTTAAGAATCACAAATGTGTCATCCACATACCTATGCCAAATTCTGAGTTAACATTGGAGACTTCTTAAACCTCACTCTTCTAAAGCTTTCATATAGAAATTCTCATAAATTTGAGATGCTAGTCAGCCTGCTACAACATCTTTTAATTGACAGTACATTCTACCTCTTATTGTGAAATATGTATGTTCTAAGCAATGTTTCAACAATTTTATGATATCCTCTGTTGAAGGCAGGCATTCACGTATTACATTATCGAGAAAACTCTTACAATATCTAGACATTCACATTTTGGTATATTAGTGAACAGAGAAATTACATCAAAACATTGCCATAATTTCATCGTCGCCTATAGTCATATTCAATTGTTTATTTTTGAAGCCTTGGAGGCTTTTAATACTTGAAGAAATGTCATATTGGAGTGGTTTCAGAATTCTTAGTAAATGTTTAGATAGACGATACATTATCAAATTTGTAAAGTCAAGAATTAGTCTAAGGGTAATCTCCGTTTTGTGGACTTTTGGTCTTCCATATAATTTAGCTGTTGTGTTCGTCTTAGGATCTAATGAAAACCATATTGCACTTCAAAGTTTGAGTTTCGTTTCTCTTGGTAATTTACACGTCTCAGCTTCCTTTGTTTTTAATTTGACTGAATGTTTATTACTAGGGATAAGCTCTTATAGTCCAGTTTCCAAATGCCGTGTCGCTTTCTTTTTTAAATCTTTTTTATTCAACACTACCGTGACATTGCCTCTGTCTGCTTTTGTTATGACTATAGATTTATCAGATATCGAAGTTTCTAAAGCAGATCGTTCTTCTGTCTTTTGGTTAGAACCAGCAGTCTTCTGATTTGTCATGATAGTCCTGACTTTATGACGTACTGTATGTGCTTCTTCTCTCGGTAAAAGAGATGAAATTGGTTCCATAGTTCGGGCTAGTTCCATCGTTTTTGAAGGCTTTCTGGGCAAACTGAAGTCCAGACCTTTATTCTGTAATATAATTTCATGTTCATTTAGTTGCATGCTGAATAAACTACATTACTCTTGTACTGCTCGAATAGCTTTTCCAACATGATTTTCATTTGTTCGAGATGACTAGATGTTAAAATTTCTGAAAATGTCTTTCTTTAACATTTTGGAAACATTTGGATTCTTGATCTTGACATAAATTTATGAGTTCGGAAAGCTTATTATAAGGAATAAGTATATTGAGACTGTCATCAATGTTCTGAATACGCCTACGGTACTGTTTCAATGGTAATGTGCAATTATGTGTAGATTAAGTTGGTTTTGTTGTAATAACGATCATAATTTCCTGTTGCTACAGAGGGCCGAACCGCTCGAACTCTGTTGGCAGATGGTCTCTTATGACGATGCTTCGACACTGCAGGATATTCATGATGTTATGTTGGTCTTTGATTTAAACGTACTGGGTTCCAGCCTCAGTGCGAACACCATCATTCACTGGAGTGCAGGTACATCTAGCTGATTAGTCCCAAATGGTATGAAGTGCACGTACTAGATTCCTCTTCTGGTCAAGAGGATAATGATAGGTTAGTATGGTCTTTATACTACCACTTCAGTATTGAAAATAAAATCTTACACCATTATGTTAGTGTTCTATCTAAAACATATCAGACGTAATAATTCGATGTTCGATAGATGTTCTGCCCCTTTATCTTCATCGAAATTCAGCATATCTCACAATACCACATTTCTTTTTTCTTTTTAATCTTATCACTTGTTCAGTCCAATTAACTTTCGTTCCATTCCATCCTTTTTATTTGAAAAATTACACAGTAAGTTACATCGAGATGATGTTTCTCAGTATGACATTCGACAGTGGTAAATGTCTTATAGTCTGTAATTCTCTGTTCAGAACTTTACGATACAACTACAGACAGTCTTTAAGAATCCATTCAAGTTGATTAAAATTAGTCGTTTTGCTCTCATTTATTAACAAAATATACTTCTTTTGTTGTTGAAGTAGAAGCTGTAGGTTCAGCAAATACTTTTTTATGTAAGAAGATGGTGTATCTATGTGTGCATACCTGAACAAGTGATCAGTTTAAGAGTCATTGAACCCAGTGAATAGTAAAAATCGGCAAACAAAAGATAAATGAATTTTAGATACCATGAAAAGTCTTTTTTCGGGTGATATAACATGTCCATTTGGGCTCGCATATCTCCATAAAAGCCGGTCACCGTTAAACTATCCACATCAGTTGAACTTATGGTGGCTGTTTTGTTTCTTATAAACTCCTGCTATCATAAAAGCAGAAAGTTAACATAAGGTGAAAGAAGGGAGGCGGTGGAATAATTTTATCAAAAAAATCTCATTTCATAAGAGTTATACTGAAAATGTTCGTTTGCATCTATTTCAAAATAAATTTCCCTTCCATTCTGTTAGTAAGGAAATTGAGGGTCAAAACAGTTATATATCAGAAATCGTTTACATCCTATGCTCTGTTCTATGATGATGCGTAGCGTTGCGTTGCAATTTGGTCCGCACATGATTTGTTCTTCCTAAATCCAGCCACCCTGTTCCGATTGTACTTTTGAATCCAGCTCACCTTTTCGTCTCTCCAGGATGATGCGGCCTAATATTTTGTTTGGGGTGGACAGGAGCATGATTC